AGGTGGCCTCCTCAGCTCCAGCTCGGTGAACTCCCTATTCCCAGGGCCCGGCAGAGGAGGGTGGGGTCGGGCCAGGCCCTGTGGGGGTGGCTGTGCCCCGGGCACCCTCAGTCCTGGCTCCCTATGGTTTCTGGCTAGCTGCCTGGCTCCTCCTGGCTGCCCACACAGATTGCCTCCTGGTCAGCGCTGGCCTTTGGCATCTCCAAACATTGCTTCCAGCTCCAGGTGCTCGCCTGGCCACCCCCCAGGAGACTCCGGCCTCTGGCACAAAGCCCCAACTCCAGTGACCTTCTGCCCTCCTGTGGTCCTGCTATCACCCTGAGGCACTGCCCACCTTCGAGGTCACCGCCTTGGCTGAAGCCATGTGTCCTTCATGCCTTGGCAGGCACACCGTTCTGCTTGGCCAGCCTAGCCTCTCCCCCCTTTCCTTTTTTGTTTTTCTTCAACACTAGGTATTGAACCCAGAGCCTGTGCACTGGGTTACATCTCCAGCCGCCCCCCCCCTAATTTCCAAGTCGACTCGCCCGAAGTTGTTAAGTTGCCCAGGCTTCTCTCCAAATTGGGATCCTCCACCCCCCCTACCCCCCCGTGCTGGGACCTGCACCACCACGCAAGGCCAAATTCAACCTTCCTCCCCTTTCCCAGCCTCCATCCCTGCCATAGTCTTTGCCAAACGCCTCCCTATGAACTGGAACTTCAGCCATGAAAACCACAGTCCTACCTTCTCTGCCTCCATCTCCCACCAATCCCCATTCCTGCCAAATGTCCTGCAGCCTCTGGGTATTATGGTCTCGGCCCCTCCCCTCTCCCTGCACCTCAAATCACCCTTCCAGGTATGGCCAACTTCACCTTGTATTTTCTTTCTTTTTTAAATTTTATTTTATTTTATTTTATTTATTTGTGTGTGTGGCCAGCTCAGCCCGCCAGGGGGCGGGGCTGGCTGGCATGTGGTGCTGGGGGATTGCACCGCGGTCCCTTGTGCTTTGCTAAGCTTGTTCTAAGTAGGTGCTTTAGACCACTGAGCCATCTCACCAGCCCCATGCCTTGTATTTTCTTAGGCAGACCCCACCCGCAGAACCCTGTCTTCCTGCAACACCTGGCAAACTCCTTTATTTTTCTGGCAAAGTCTCAGCCCCAAAGTCCCTTCCGCCAGGTGGTCGGGTCTCCCCTCCCTGATCTTGGGAGCTGTAAGACTAGGAAAGGGTCGTGCACACGCGAGGAGGTGCGGCAGGAAATGCCTGGGTGTGAACAGAGGAGTGCACATGAAGGCGCCCGTGCCGGGGGTCCACGTGCGGCGCCCCCAGGTACGCCCCCTCTTCCGTCCAGGCCTCGCCGCATCCGTCAGGCCTCGGCTGCGTCTCCCGCCCCCAAGTTTGCAGACGCGCTAAGAGTGGAGAGGCCCTTGCGCCTCCGCGTTTGCGCTTGCGCATTAGGGCCTGCTACACTGAAATCCCGCCTACAGCCGGCCACACCACTATTCTATTGGTGCTCACAGATAAATGAATGGCGCATTCACCAATGAAACGTTTCTTATGGTGGGCGTGGCCTGGACGCCGGTCGAGCAGACGGGGGCGAGGGACGCGCCCTCCCTGCCCTGACGTCAGGCTCCTTTCGCGGCGCGTTTCCCTGGAAACCGCGTTTTCAGCTCTGCGGGTTTCCGGGGGCCGCACCCTCCCATTCAGCTTTTTCCTCAATGGGGGGTGGGGAATGAAGAAATGGTGCACGGCCAGTACCCCCACCCCACGAGATCCCAGCAGCTTCTTGCTTAGTCTAGTCTGTGCCTCAGTGTACCTTTCCATGCCTTCGCCTGCACACGTGGTCTCCACCTACTCCGCCTGTGTACCTCTCAGGACAGGTGTAGGCAGGTGCTATGGAGGCGCAGGCCACAGAGAAAGGACCGGGAGTGGGGCTTTTTGTAGTTTCACCATGCAGGGCCGTTACCTCTGGGATGCCCCCCAGCCCTTATATTCCTCGGCACCCAGAAGATAGTCACAGCCTGATCCCCCACCCAGCCCCCTTCTCACGCTCTTCCCCAATCTCCAGGCAGGCCTTGACCCCCACCCCCCACCCCCCACCCCCGGACACACAGGCTGGGGTGGGGGTTGTGGACAGCAAAGGATCTGTTCTGGGCCTGCATGGTGATTCAGCAGGCGCTTCGATCACATCCTCTTTCCTCCTCCTCACCCTGCCCTGGGCTCAGGGAGGTGGTGACTGAGGTCAGGCCGAGCTCAGCCTTGACCCCGGGCGGAGACTGCAGGTTTCACCTGACTTCTCTGCCCACTCCCTGTGCCTTCCAACCCTAGGGTCCATTTGGGCCCACGACCTTGAGGCCTGACCAGGCATCCACCTTTTTCCTGTGGGTGTAGGCTGATTTGGGGGTAACTGGGCGGTGGGAGGGGCAGAAGGCTTTCAAGATGCCCCAGACCACCCTCTTTGATGTTCTTCAGGGGAGCTGCTGAGGGTAGCTTGGACCTTCAGCAGTCAGATGAGCTTGTGTATGGAGGGGTCACATAAGACATCCTAATCATAGGCATAGTGCTGTTACTGAGACTTGGTTTTCCTGTCTCTAAAGTGGGAGGATAATTACTTCTAACTCTTAGGTTGCATTGCTTGTTAAATGAAATACACTTAAAAGGAGATTAAGCAGTGGGATGATTGTTCTCTGAGCCCAACCCCAAAAGGTATGGAGGTGGGATCCTCTCTGGGGACCCTCTCTAGCTGGGCCCTTGGTGAGCCCCAGACTGGCAGGGTGTGTGCAGGGGTGGGGAGTTCCCAGTTAGACCAGAGGGGACTTGGGGGAGGGGGAAGACAGGTGTTCCTGGTGGGAAAAGGCTAGGGCAAAGACCTGGAGGTTTTGCCTGGTGAACATGAAGGGCTGGAATGTAGCACGAGGGTGTGGCCGCAGAGGCCCCCCCAGGTCATTTGGGCTGGGTGAGGCTACAGGTCAAGGCCAGCCCGAGGCCCTGGGCTGGACCTCAGGTCTAGGCTCCTGGAGACTTTGGGCCTACATTGGTGGTTGGCCCTGTGAGAATACTGAGACTCCTCTAAGAACAACTTAGAAAGTTTCTCAAGAGTTGCAGCTGCCTCCTACTCTTGTGACATAAGGACCAGGTCTCCCAGGACACTAACTCCTAAGTTCCTGTCCCCACAGCCCACATCAGAGCTGGCAATGGAAAGCGGGTACGGGTAGGTCCTGCCCAGGCTGTACTAGAGGTCAGACCCGCTCCCTGTGAGCTTCCGGCCTCTGGTGCCAGGAAGTGGCTGCCCCACCCACCTCCACCCCTGCAGCTTCCTGCCCACCCCCAACAAGGAGGTGATAAAGTGCTAGTAGATACCTGGCCATGGCCCACATCCCCTGGTAGCCCAGGCCATAGTGGCCGAGGACGACTCCTCCCATGGAAAACACATGCAGCTTGTTTATTTTGTTTATTACTGGAAATCAAGATGTGTGTAGGGCTTTTTTTTTTTTTTTTCAATTTTCATACAGCATACTCGCGCGGGTGCCAGGTCCCCCACAGCCCGACCCCTGAGGGTGGTGTGTAATGCTTTCTAGGGGGACCCTGAGGGAGGGCAGAGAACTTTCCGCTGGTTCGTCTGGGGCCTCCACCCTCAGCCCCGCGGAGGCACGGGCATTATTTAAAAATCGTTAAAAAACAGAACAGAACACACATTTAAATAGGTATACAAGACAGTTCTTCAAAAACAAATGCACCCCCCTTTTTTCTCCTTTTGGAAAAAAACCCAAAAAACAAACAAACAAAAAAATAAAACCAAATCCTTGACCTCTACCATCTGGCCCCCTCCCTACCCTCCCACCCCCACAAAAAATTTTACAACTACAGTTAACACATGATGTTCACTTCTGAAACCATTTAAACACGGGAGGAGGGCAGGAAGGACTTAGGGTTTACCTACAAGAACAAAGGGGGAACCACAGGTGGGGCCAGGTAAGACTTGACAGGTGGGGGTGGGCCCAAACTTCCCATTAAAAAAAAAGTGAATGGGTAAAAAAAATAAAAAAACCTCCACCCCCATTGAAATGGCCCCAGTAAAGGGGACTCCCCCTAGGTCCCTGGGTCCCAAGACCCCCAGGCTTGGGCACTGAGTGGGGAAGGTCCTGAACAGACCAGCAGCGGACCCCAGGGGGGCTTAATGCTACACAGCGCAGCCCCGTGGGGCATTCACAGCTCAGCATCCCCCTCTCAATCTGGCTCTGGAGAATCCCCAGGCAGTCCACACCCCATATCCCTCAGGCTGGGCTGGAAAGGAGGAAGGGGCAGGGGGCAAATCCCCAGACCCTTACCTTTCCTCTCCCTGGTTTTCAAGCCATTCCCAACCAGTATTGGCTCAGTCAAAAAATTAGTAAGTCTATAAATAGTCCCCAAACTCAGGCAAGAGGTCAGGGAAATGGGATGGGGAAGGACAGAAGTGGAGAAAATTGGGACAGTTGTGGCCGATGACTGGAGAGGGTGGACCAGGGCTGGTCCCGTTTCCCTTTTTTGGCAGGAAAAGGTCCCCAGGCCCCTTGCCTGAACCCAAAGTGCACCCGTTCCCCCAAACAAGCTCTGGGCCAGACTGCTTAACATGGATTTACATGGAAAAATAACCCAAGACCAAAGGAAAGGACAGATAGAGAAAAAAAAAAAAAAGAGTCCCCTCCTGTGGCTTTGCTCCCAGTGATATGCGGGTGCTGGACCCTGGGGGTGGAGGCCAGAGGCCTGCAGTAGGGGGTGGGATGGAGTCTGGTCTCCACAGCCCCCTCCCCTCATCTGTAAAGTGCATAATGAGGCATCTACATTTTTGACTTAAAACCTGAATGGGTGGGGGGAGGCAGAGGGCGGGAGGGGTGAGGGCAGAGCGGAAGAGGGGCAGGGGCGGTTTCCTGGCCTCCTCCTTCCTCCTGCCTGCCATCTGGACAGCCTGCTACATATTGGAGCTGGGGAAGGTGGGAGGGAAGGACCCAGCATCGCCGGCAGAGACAAGAGGTGGGAGGCGGGAGGTACCACCAGGGTGAGAATTTAAAAAAGAAAAAGGCTGGTAGGTGGGTCAGGAGGGAGGTGACCACCTGCCCTCCAGAGTTGGGCCGTGGCACTGGGCCATGTGCGATGTCTTGGTGGTGGCAACCCGACGCAGCACATGTCCACCTTGGGCCAAAGCTTGAGAAGGGGTGAGTGAGTGTGCCGGATCTTAAGCCACCACGAACTCAGACTGGAGGTCAGGGTTCACTTCTGGCTTCCAAACAGAGTCCTCGAAGTCAAGGCCCAAGCCAGAGGCCTCACTGGGGCTGCTGCCTCCTCCACTGCTACTGCTGTCGCTTCGGCCAGCCTTCCGGCTTGGTGGCCAATGGTAGGGGCCACGGGCGTCCCGACGGGCCTTCCTGCGCAGGCGCTTCTGCTGCAGCAAGAGCTGAAGCCGCTCCACCTTGCAGCGCGTGGCCCGGTTCTCTGTCTGACGCAGCCGATCCCCTGCGAAAGAGGCAGTGACCCATGATTCCCCAGAGCTCATTTGGGAGAGGCCTGAACCCTCAGAAACACAAACGGACGGCTCCCCCTCCCATCTGTCCTCCTGGTGACATTGAGGACCACCAAAGGCATCTTGGGAGATCACCCTTGGGTGGATTATTAATACTGATTCAATTCTCCAGTTCTACAGAGCTGAGCACTGACTCTGGCCTTTGAGCTACACTACCACCCCATACCTTTTTAAATTTTGAGATGGAATCTTGTTAAATTGCTCAATCTGGTATTCAAACTTGGAATCTTCCTGCTTTAGCCTTCTCAACTGCTGGGATGACTTACAGGCATGGGCCACCATGACTGGTTTCTAGGAACTGCATTTTTGGGGAGTGTTTTGAGACAGGGTCTCCCTTCAGGTTGGCCTTGAGCTCTTGGCCATCATTTTTTTGCCTTGGCCTTCCCAGTGCTGGGATTATAGGTGTGTACCATACCTGGCTTCCTCTTATTTCCTTATTCACCAAGCTGTGAGATAGGAAGGGTGGGCAGGGCAGATCTACTTTATCCTTTCCAGGCTCCTCCAAGGGATATGCCCCAAGAAAGCCCCGAAGCCTGAGCCTCAGTTTCCTGCTTTCATGAGCAAGGCTATGGAGGTTGCGTGATGAATGGCTGGGGATGCCTGTAGGCCACAACAGTGACCAGCAACCCAGAGGGCCTCTGGGAGGAGAAGTAGTCAGGCCACTAGGGGGATGGCGGGCTATTCTCCCAAGTCCTCTCCATGCTGGGGGACCTGCCAGCCCCACCTCTCCTGCCAGAACTGACTGGTCATTCATGGAGGCCCCCCAATGCCATCTGGAGATGGTGCCTGGGGGAGGAGAGGAGGAAGTGGGCCGGGGCCCCATTGGGAGCTCACAAGGACACTTTGTGGCCACACACACACACGCCTCTTCTCTCCCAGCCTGCGCCTCTTGGGGGGAGCTGCAGCTGCCAGGCCTCGGAGGGGCAGCTGCTCTGGTGCTCACACCTCACACAGAAGGGCCTTGAGGAGCCAGGAGGATGGGTGTGCAGAAGGGACCCTGGAGGGTGGCCACTCACCAGGGGGCTTGCACATGCGTATCTGGCTCTGGCCTTGCAGCAGGGAGGCTGGTGGTGCAGCCGCCAGCTTGTCGCAGGAGGTAGTTTTGGGGTTGAGGTCAGGGGGTGGCGAGGCGGGCGAGCACTGAGCGTGGCAACGGAGCTGGGTCAGCGAGGGGGGCATGCCCTGGTAGTGCCTCGTGGCACTCAGGAGGTCATTGAGGATCTGGAGAATTGTGCCGATGTCGCGGCGTGGCCGCCCACTGCTGTCCTGACAGTTTGGGTGCAGTGTGCCTGTGGACAGAGGAGAGAGCTTCAGGACAGGCCACTCAGGTGTACATGTAGAGAGCAGTGTAGGTCCTTGGGAATCAGAGTGCATGGGGAAGTCCACCACAGCGGTACAAATGGGACCCGCAGAGTGAGACACGCAAGCACACACGCACGCACACAGATCAACACGTGCCTGATATTAACACACAGTCATAGAATGGGGAGGATCGCTTGTGTACTGCAACACCTACCAGAGAAGGTCCCTGAGAAGACCCCCGGGGCATGGTTGACGAAGCTCTCAATGACAGCGCCGGGTTTTCGGGAGCGGGGGGTAGGACTGCTCCCAGGGGTTGAAGGGGTGCTGGCTCCAGGGCTGACACTGCTGCTGGCAGGTGGTGAGCAATCCATCTGCTGAAAAAAGGGGAGTTTGTGAGAGCTGGAGTCAGTATCAGGGTCACAGTCACCGTCATGCTCACGGTCAGGGTCAGAGATGATCCCCAGTCTAGGGTCTAAGCTAGGTCCTAGAGATAACCCTCAGTGTAGAACCTACATGCAGATAACCTCAGTCTGCGGTCAACCCACCAACCCAGGTTCAAGGTAATTTATAAACCCAGGATCAGGGTTATTACCCATGGAGCCCCCAAACTAGAAATAACTCAGGGTTAATGCACCACCCACCATGCTAGCATTTGCAAATCCACCCGCTCAGGGTCACAGGATAACCCACAAGTGCAGGGTGAGGGCTGACCCACTGGTGCAAGGTCCACAGATAAAGCTCTCAGCCCTGATTCAGGGGACAGCACCTGATATGAAAAACACATCTGGGAACAGTGCCCCACCCTTCTCAAAGTCTGTGGCCTCTACTTTCAGGACAAATCTTGCTGATTCTTACCTCAGGGCAGGTTGTGGAGGCTGCATGGGATCGGAAGGAACCAGCTGTGACAGGTGAGGCAGATGCGGAAGGGCTAGTGGGCACTGGGGGAACGCGGGCAGCAGTAGACAACGGCCGGCAGGTCGAGGACACGGGGGTGGCTATGCTGGACTCTCCTCGGGTGGCAGTGGCTGCAGCGGCTGCAGCAGCCAGCACATGGCGGTGCTGTAGTGGGGCGTGCTGAGCGGCAAGCTGCAGCTGAACGAACATCATGTGGTCCCCAACACGCAAAGCCAGGGTCAATGGTGAGCGGCCGGACAAGAAGTCACTGACCTGTAGAGAGAGGGGCCTTTCAGTGGTGGGGCTCGACCCGTGATGCCCCCAGCCCAGCCCGGCCCAGTTCCCCTCCATTGTGTGACCTGGGGCCTCTCGCCGCCCCTCTCTGGGCTCTGGGGTCCCTGTCGGTGCCACCACGGATGCTTAAATAAAATGAATCTGTATTTCCGGAAGCCTTCTCCGCCAGCCCGGCCTGGCCCAGGCGCTGCTGGGGGCTGTGGGGGACAGAGGCGGGTCAGACGGGGGAGCCCTGGTCCTCCCTCGAGGGTCACTGTCCTCAGCTTTCACTTCATACCTTTCCCAACCCTCTTGGGTCCCCAAATCCTCTCTGCCTGTGAATATAGGAGGGGGCACAATCTCAGGCCCCCTCCTAGCTAAGTCACCCAGACAGCGAGTGGGCGAAATTCCTGGACAAATTCTTCCATCCTAACCTTTGCTTTCTCAAGATAAATATTTATCTGTCCTGGGCGGGGCAGTGAGCAAGGGGGGAGGCAACATCACTCTGGGAAAGGGGCCCATGACAGGTCCCAGGGGGCCATATCCCCAGGGATCTCAAGAGCTGGCACTCAAACCCTCAGACCTGCCCTCCTATGTGGTGGGTGGGTTCCTAGCTATATCTGACCCTGGCTGCACTGAGGTCCCTCCTTCCCGGGGGGCCTGGCCAGCGCCTTGTTCTCCCCAGGGGCTGGGATAGGGGGGTGGAGGTTTCTGAGAAGTGACACAGTAGATGACTCAGAGCCTACCGACCGCCTCCCAGATCTCCCTCCCCTCTGCGCTGGCAGCAGCTGGCTGACTGGCTGGTGTAACCTTCTGTTTGGGGCCATGGGGAGGGGAAGCAACAGCAAAAAGGTGACCAGAGTGGGCCCACCAGAGCCCCAGTCTACACAGTACCCCAAAACCCCAGAGATTCCCTTGCAGGCAGAGGCTGGGAGAAGCTTCAGAGAGCAGCTGGGGTCCCCCCCTCCACCCGCCCTGCAACTTCCTCCCTGGGGAGGACCGATGGGCGGGCATGACTAGGTGCCAGGCAAGGAAGCAACCCTGGGGAGCCCAGTTTCTCCGCCTAGCACACCCCCACCTCCCTCATGCTGGCACCTGGGGAAGATGTGAACCAAACACACCTAGAGGCCCCCCTGCCAACCAACAGCCCCCACAGCACAGGGAGCTGTTTGCACTTGCCCCAGGAAATCACCTGTCTCCCCCATCTGGATCCAGGGACCACTGGCTCTATCCTATACCCCAGCTCAGACCACCCAGTCCTGTCCCCCACCCCTCCCTGCCTGGCCAGGGCAGAACACTATCCGCCGGCTGGTTGGGGAGGGGGTGAGGACCTTGGGAAGGAGGAAGAATGTGTGACCAGAGAAGCAGGTTTCCTGTGGCGGTCTGGCCCAGCCAGCAAGGCCCGGGAACCTGCCCACCCCTTCCCAGGGCGGGCAGCAGCCTGCTTCCCCCACCCTGGCAGCAGGCGGATTGCTGAGGCCTGTGTCACCCTCCTGGGAGGTGGCCAGGGCCCGCATCTGAGGAAGGCCCAGTCTCAGCCAAGAAAATGAGAAAAGGAGGAGAAAGGGAAGAAAAAAAAAAAAAAAAAAAAAAAAGGCTTCAACAAAACCAGGAACCGTGTTAGGGCCAGCCCCAACCTTCCTCCTGGCAGGGCTTACTAAATATTTTCCTAACATCCTGTCTCAGCCTCCCAGGCCCTCAGGCTGGGTGCCCTGCTCCCTCCCATTTGCCCCCTCCCATTTTCAGGGCAGAGAACAAAGGGTAGAAAGAGGCACAGCAGTAGTGTGGTGACTCCCCACCCCCTCACAATGGGGTCACAGAAGGAGGAAAGAGTGTAACCCTGGCCAGCCCCTCCCCGGGGCCAACCCCTGGCCCCTCCTTCCCAATCGGAAGAGAAATTCAAAAAAGAGAAACTCTAGATGTCAGTTTAGGGAAGCCAATTTTTTAGAAGTTGTGGGGAGCTCTACGGTGGGAGTGTGCTGGTTTGGTGGCCAGGCCCCTGGTGTGAACACTCCCACCCGTGGACCAAGGTCACCTTACAGGCAGGCTTGTGAAAGCTAGATCCCCTTCCCCCTCCATGAGAGAAAGCTCTCAAGGTCGAGGGGGATGGGTGGTGACAGAAGAGGAAGCCCAGTGACCAGTCAAGCTGGCAACAACATGGGGGACACGTTCCCTCCCCTCAAACACCCCATGCCCTCCAGCGTGTCTGAAGCACTGAATGTTGCCCCCCCACCCTTCTCCCCCGTCTGCCTTGCAGGGTCCCAGAGGAGCACTTGCCTGCAGTAGGTTGTAGATTAGAAGCTGTGATGAAAGCTTACCTGGGTTTCTGTCAAACTCTCAAGGGCTTGCATGACAGACTGCTCCGGCCTTGAGGCCTGGGACTACAAAGAGAGGGAGGAAGAAAGCTTCTAAGTGTGGGGTGGGCAGTCCACGCAGGAGAGGGGGCGCGCACGCAGGTGACAGTGGCCTAGAAGGGGACACGCTTTGCCTGTCCCTGCATGTGGGACCTCCCAGGACCTCTGGGGCACACCACCCCACAGCAGCCATTTACCATGAGGCCCGCTTCCACGGTGGGCACCAACGTCAGCTTACTGCCATCCCCCACGCCGAACTCCAGCAGCTTCCCAGAACTGAGCCGGCTGGGGGCAGGAAGGAAGAGGGTGAGCCGCATAGACAACACAGGGACGCGGAAGCGGAGGCCGCGGAGGGGGGGGGTGCGGGGAGAGACAGGAGTCCTTCCCACCCCCTCCTTTCCCGGTTTCCAGATCCTGTGCCCTGAGAGTGTGTGGGGGAAGCTGCTTGGCCCTGGAAGCCCCCATTCTCGCAGTTTAGACCTCCTGTCCAAGACCCAACTCCAGAATCGGGCACCCCCTTTTGCATTTCAACAGGGCACTTTCCTTTTCTGCTCACCTGGACCCCCGTGTGCCCTTTAGTTCCCTCCCCCGCTCCCCCTTGGCCAGCCCCTGTGTGTAATTCCCCAACTCCTGTGCTGGCTTGTCTTTGTGGTCGCCTCAAGGCTTCAGCCCTTGGAGAGGCCTTCGGGGGGCTGCGCCTGGCCGTGCTCCCCCTCCTCCCTTCCTGGCGCAGGCGGCCGCCGCCGCCGCTCAGACAAAGGAGACCCTCCCCCTCCCGCCCCTCCCCCACCGAGGCCCCTCCGCTGGGATGGACACTGAGTGTCCCTGGAGGCCCACAGGGGGAGGACTCCCCGGCCTGGAGGCGATTTAAATACCAGGGGGGAGGGGGGAGGCAATGGAGAACGCTCAGAGGCGAGAACAAAGCGGGGCAGAAAGACACAAGTGGGGGGGGGGAGACAGCCAGACGCAGAGGGGGCCGCCGAGCAGATGCGGAAGCCGGCGAGGACGCAGGCTCGAGGAGGCGGCGGCTACGGCCCCCACTCGCGCAGCCAGGACCCCTGCGCCCTAGGGACCTGCCCCCTCCCCCAAAAAGTGAAGCCCTACAATTTGACCGGGCCCCCGCACCCGCTTTTGTGCGGCGACCCCGGGGCGGGGGAGGGGGGGGGTCGAGGCAGGCAAGGCCGAGCAGAGGGCGCCCGAGAGCGCGCAGCGCGCCCCCGTCCCCCTCCCCGGTCTCGCTGCCCCCCCTTCTCAGCGCGGCGCGCTCTTTGTTCCCGCCCGGGGGCCGGGGCCTGAGAGGGTGGCCCGGCTCGCTGGGGGGGTGCTGTGCAGGTCGCGGTCGGCGCGCGGTACCTACGTGTCTTTGTGGAGCAACGCCAGACGCTCCTTGGGCACTTTGAGGCGCTGGGACAGCCGCTTGCGCAGCCCCTCCACCGTCTCATCAGGCGGCACCGACAGGTCATAGCGGGTTCCGGTGGTGCTGTGGATCGCCAGGTTTATGGGCGCCGTCTCGGGCGCCGGGCCCAGTTCGCAGGCGCCGCCGGGGGCCCCGCGCCTGCAGCTCCGGGCACCGCCGGGCTGCGGCTCCATCCCCGGCACGCGCTGGGGGGCTGGGGTCCGCCGGGCGCCTATAATCCTTGATGCGACTTCTGAGGCCGGGACTTCCCCGAACTAGGGTCCTCCTTCCTAGGCGCTTGGAGATGGCTGCAGCAAGCGGGCCCCTTGAGAAGGTCCCAGCGATGAAAGGCTAATCGCAAATAAAAGAATCCCAGGGGCGCTCCGGGGTTGCGACCGCTCCTTGGGGCTTGCTCCGGGGTGGGGTCTGATCTCGCGGCACCTTCACGACCGGCGCGCAGCGCGGGGAGGGTCCCGAGGAGGGGGCGCCCTGGTACGGCGCACTCTGTGCCTCTGCCTTTCGGGTCGCGCTACCCCGCGCGTCCCCTCCCTTAGCAACAGCAGCCGCAGCCGCCGCTCTCAGGATCTGGGGGTGAAAGTAACAAGAAAAAAAAGTTATAATGTATCAACGTTCCAAGGGGCGGGGCCGCCGCCCCCTCCCATTCACTACTTACTCCGCCGGCCCCGCAACGACCAATAAGCGGGCACCGAGCGTCCAGTCGGCCGCAAATAGAGACCAATGGGAGCGACCGCGGCCCTGCCCCACGTGGCAGAGTGGCCTGCCCTTAGCCCCACCCCCCTCATCAGAGTGCCCAATGGGAATGCATAGAGGGAGGGACTGGCGCTGCTCTGGGTCCTCCTCCGCGCCCCCGCCCGCGCCTGCAGCCATTCATAAGGCCGGGAGCTCGTAACAAAGGGCAGGCGGGCCCTCAGGGGCCCGAGACCCAACTCTGGGAATGGCCTCCACCCCCATGGGCCCCCAGGGGAGCTGCTTGAGTGTGCGGAGGGGGCGCGGGTCATTGTTCCCGGCGCCAGGAGGGACAGGAAGTCGTGGGGCCTCCCCACCGCGTCGGTCCGGGAAGCAACCTTCAGCGGAAGCGGGAGCATGAACCCTGTGCCTCGTGGCCGAGGTCCGCGGCCGCGCGGTGCGGAAGGAAGGACCAGCCGGTGGCCTGCTCCCGCCCCCTGGGTGGGTAGGTGTGGAGGCCTGGGCGGGGCGTGAGGCCCTGGGCGGGGCGCAGCACCTAAGTGACGTGGCCAAGGCCGGTTGTGTTCCTCCTGAGCGGGTGTCGCTGCGCATCCCTGCCCCCTCCAGGTCCCTCAGGCCGGGCCCGTTTCTCGAGACGCGCTCGCAGGAGCCGTGACGTGACGCGGCGTCCCCGTCTGCGTCCGCGCACTCTGCTCCGGGCAGCGGTGAGTCAGCAGCGCCGACGCGCCCTCTACCGGCCGCTGCATGCAGTCCGGGGCAGGAGCGCCGCGCTCGCGGTCTCAGGACCGGGGCAAAGGGGTTGAGGCCCTGTACGAATCCTGCAGGGGAACCGAACTTTTCGCTGTGGAGACTAGGATAGTACAGCCAGAGAAACTGAGGCAGGGATGGGTGACTAGTTCAAGGTCACTGGCGGGAAAGGGGAGTGCCCGGGGGCGGGGCGGGGGCTGCGGTCTAACCAGGGCGTTGCCAACAGTATCGAACGCCTCCCATCATCTAGCCCAGGGGTTTTTCAGCCCGAAGCACCCCAATTCCTGCCTGCCCCAAGGACAAAGAAAAGTAGGGGTCCGGTGAACAGTCCATTGAATGGGGGTCTCGCCCCGCCCCGAAGTCACGCCCCCCACTCACCAGGCCCGGTGGGCCCTGGATCCCCGGCTGTCCTGATCGCTCCCCCGTGCAGATGTAGGCATGCAGTAGCCTGACCGGTCTGGGGCAGTGCGAGCGGCCCCAAGCCTTTATCCGCACCGCCTTCCCTGGGGTGGAGTTTGGGCGGACAGGGAGGGGGGTGCCAGGCAGGAGGTGATGCACTGGCATCCACCCCTGCCTGCTGGCCAGCGGCCCCGGGACGTGGTGGCCTGAGATGCTCAGTCCCCAGGCTTCACATGTGTGTGTGCACTCGCAAGAAATACCGCTGGGGTCCAGGAATCCTGCTTACCTCGTGGCAATGGGGCACACCTAGACTGCTTTGGGGTTCCTGGCTCAGATCCCTGCCCTGTGCCCCTTCCTGGCACCAGGCTTCGTGCTTCCGCATGGGGGGTGCCTGAGTCAGTGGCTGTTGTCCCCAGGAAAAGACACAGGTGCTGAAGTCACTTGCTAAGCAGTGGTGTTCAGGCCTGATGCTGCATCCCTTAACAGTGACCTCAGAGGGCATTTCTAAAGTGATTAACCAGAGGCTAGTGTAGGGTGAGCCAGCCAGTCACCACTGGCATTGCTGTGTGACCTCAGGAAGGAATGGCTTCTTCGAGTTCTCCACAAGGTTCACAGGTATGGGGTTATTGTCCTCACCAACGAGAATGTGTGCACATGAGACCCTGGCTTGTGGACTAAGTGACACATGCAGCTATCACATTTTTTTCCCCAAGGATGATCCTGGCTGGGTCAGGATGAAGGGGAACCTGGGCTTTTCCTCCACCATCTCCTGTCCAAATTATGTTTGCTCCTTTTATCTGGTCTGACCACCTCCATCCCCACCCTCCCCCTCCACCCCTCCCAGGGCTGTTCCTTTCCGGGTTCTTAGCACCCACCCGAAAGCACCCTGCCCCTCCCAACCTGGTCAGGGCTAGGCCAGAGAACTCTGGGAGTCCCAGGGGCTGAGCTTTGAGGGTTGACTCGAGCTTTCAAGTGCGAATGGCCAAGGAAGGAGGCTGAAGTGGAGGTGGAGGAAGCGGGTTCAGGTCAGGTCTGCCATGCTTCTGGAAAGCACAGCAGCTTCAGGTCCTAGAGTTAAGCCATTCAGTGTTGGGGACCTGCAACTTTCCTGATGGGTACGTAACACTGGGCTGGTGAGGGCCCTGCCACTTGGACTGTGTGACCAAGGGTGATCAGGATTGGAACTCTAACTTTAATGAGTACATGAGATGGGGAGGTAACCCCTGGAAAGGAGATGCTTGCTGTCTAAATAAAAGGTCTGTGGCACTTGCGCCTTGCCTTTCTTCGATGGGTCACCCCCCCATCCTCACCCCAGGTGTGAACAGAAGCCCTTGGCACTGCCTAGAACCCCTAGCTTCCTTGCTCCTCCCTTAGGACTGGTCAGCCACTAGACTGTCCCCACAGTTAGGCTCACATCTCCCCAGGGAGTGGACTCCCTCTGTCAACTGTGGGGTATACTCATCAGAAGTGACTTCTTGGGGCCGGGGAGATGGCTCAGTGGAATAAGTGCTTCCCTGGCAAGCGCACGGACCTGAGTTCAATCCCCCGTTCCGCCAAAAAGGAAAAAAAAAGAAGTGACTTCTTAAAAGAAAAAAACTTCTTCCTCTGGGGCCCAGCTACCTCCATGTCTTATAACACCCATGGCTGTAGGGATGGGGCCTACATTTAAGGAGAGTAAGGGAGGGGCTGCTCCCTGGCCCTTGGGCCCCGAGAAAAGACCCAGATGAGATCCAGAGTGGACTTACTGACCCTTCATGACCTTCAGATAGGACATCCCAGGGTCCATCTCTGGAGGCTCCCAGATATAGCCCTGCTTGGCATGTGCCCCTGGGGAGTCACTTGCATGGGGCTATGACACAGAATAAGCTGCCCATGTGCTGACACAGGCCACACACACAGGCCCCAGGGTGGCCTCCCCATCACCATCCTGGCTCCAGGGACGTGACCAGCCAGTAGCCCTGACTCTGTACACTCACCCCTCTGGAATCCCCTCCCTGTCCCACTCAGACACGGTGGGGGAGGGAGGGAAGGCAGGGATCCCTGTCCCCAGTGTCCCAGCCACCCCCACAGGATTGCAGAGGGGATGGGACAGGGCTAAAGACACCTCATTCTGGGCTAACTCCTCCATTTAAGGACAGCCAGGGACCTGGGTGCTTACTGAGGGGGCTAGAGGTGCCAACAGCTCTGGGGCCCGGGCTGCGTGCCAGGGCAGGGCCACCCACAAGGCTGAGCCAAGGGCACAGGGCAGAGCTTCTATGGGAGGTGGGGCCCCTTCTCAGGCCTGTGTGGTGGGTTGGGGCGGTCTTGGCGCCAGGCCTACACAGCAGACCTGGCAAACACCCCAGGTGTCTGCAGCAGCCCAGGCCTGACTTCTGTGACCTTTGTGCCCTCCCCATCATGGCCAGCACTCTGCACCCCATGCACTGTTGCTGAGCTTCAGTTAGTGAGGATAACCTGGACACCCAGTCCAAAGAGGTTCCCAGGACTCAATTCAAAGGGTACATGGAGTACTCCAGAGGAGCCCAGGGGAAGTCCCAACACCATCACCGCAAGCTGGAGTGACGAAAATGGTACACACAGGTTAGGATTCCCCATCTTTAATAGGGGGATGGGGGCCGGGGCAGCTCTTCTGGGTGAGCTGGTTGGTGCAGGCAGGTCTCCAAGGAAGGCTCTGCAGGGCAGGGGGCAGTGGGTGCCTGTCAGGATACCCAGACAGGTGACAGACCCCCTGGCCACCAGGCCTGAAGACATGCTGCACTGCCCCCTGGTGGCCATCCCAGCAAGCATGATTCCAAGGTTTGCAGACCACCCCCAAAAGGGGCAGGCCACGGAGCTGGCTCCACTTGTGCCTGGCCTGGCCTGTTTCCCTGGGGATGAAGGGTACACACCGCCTACTCAAGGGCCTTCACCAGGGCCTCGTTGGCCTCAATTCGGATTTGGATCTCTGCACGCGCAGCCTCATCTGCAGCCCCTGAGAGTTCGGACTGTGCCTTCTCCAGATTCGCCCTGGCTGTCTGCAAGGGGTGGGTACAGAGTAAAGGATGGCCAGAGACCCTAAGCCCAGCACCTCCCCTCACACTGAATGCCCTCCCCAGCAGTCAGGGAATTTTGGACTGCTCTTGCCAGTTCTAAGCCTGTCTCTCCACTGACACTCACCCCCAGGTCTAACATGTCCAGTGTCACAGCCTCTTCAGCCAGTAACTGGACGGAGGAGTCAGCGTTCACTGTGACAGATCCACTGCTCACTGCAGAGGGACAGCAGAGACAGCCTGAGTCCTTGTCCATGCTGCATCTATGCAAGATCTCAGTGCCCACCCCAGCCTAGAGCTCTCAACACCCAAGTGTGCAAAGAGCTACCAGCCCAGAAAAACCCCACACACTAACCATAGGGCCCAGCACATGTGGTGGGGTGGAGAGGGAAAAACTCTCCAATGGAAAATAGAACAGGTGAGAAGGAGAGAAACACTGAGAACACCTTTGGGACCATAGAGTCACTCCCTGGACGCACTAGCCCATGAAGTGAGCCTAGGTCAGGAGAAAAAGATCAGAGTAAGCTGGGTTCAAATCCCACTCCTTTCCACACAGATGAGCCTTCTCAGACCTGGCTTTCCCCCCCCCCACCTTGGATACTGGAAATCAAACCAGGGCCTGTGCACTAAGCTGTATTCCCAGCCTTTTTAAAATTTTAAGTTTTTTGTTATCTGGGATCCAACTTAGGATCTTGTACTTGCCAGGCAGGTGCTTATGACACTGAGCTATATCACTGGTCCAAGATGGGTTGTGCTAAATTGCCCAGCTTGAGCTCAAACTTGCTGTCTTTCTGCCTTGTCCTCCTGAACAGCTGGGATGACATCTGTGCCCAGGCCCTTAAGTGAACCATCTCTCCCGAGCTGCCTGTTGCCTGCTAGTGTCATCACCATCCCAAACCTACCATACACTGATTCAAAGCAAAGTGAATTGGTTGCTTTTGGCTGTTTCCCAGATGACCACTTGTCTGTGCCCAGCCCTGTGGAAAGAGTGGGCCCTCAGTGGATCCCACCAGACTAACCAAAGTACTTAGTTGTGCTGCCATCTTCAGCGTGGACCACAACCAGTCCCGGTCGTAGGACCTGTAGAGTGGGCACGTGGGACGCCAGGATGCCAAAGGCTCCAGTCAGTGTGGGCACATCCACCTGCCGCACGTTGGCACCATTGAAGAACACCTGCGGGGGAGAGGGGAATGAGGACGCCAACGCTGTAGCTGTTGGCCTGCCCCACAGCCACTAGGGGCTCAGTCTTTCCTGTGAAATTGGGTCCAGGCAGAACTTAGCCGGGGCAGTTGTTTCCTTCATCTTTTATCTGCAAAATGGGAATACCAGCACATGGAACTGTGCCACTCCCCAGAGACACCAGCAAAAGGCATTTTAGCAGAGAGTACCAGACAATGTATCTACACAAGTGCCTTGGACAAAGAGCAGTGTATAGCCAGACATAAGGCGGTCATGAGGATGGGTTCCCGGTGGAAGTCTGTGGGCTGTTTGTCTCTAATCCTGCCCCGCCCCATCCCGAAGTGCAAGCCCGGCGTTCAGTGACCCTAAGGGACCTCAGGACTCCACAGCTGGGGGAGATGCGATGTCAGGGAAAGGGGTTTGGTCATCAGGGCATACACGGCAGCTCGAGTTCCAGGAGCCCCAAGTGTCGCCCAAGAATCCTACGACTGTGGGCTGGGAAGATGGAGGCGCCTCGTCCTCGGGACCGTACGCGCGGGCCGGGCGGGGAAGAGGCCACAGGGGATGCTGGCGACCTGAGGTGGGAGCTGAGGCTACGACGCAGGGTCCGGACCTGAGTGGGAGAGGCGAAGGTGAAGGACATCTGGCCCGGACCGGCAGCGGGAGCCGGGGCAGCGGCAGCTTCGGCATAGGCACGCGCCTGGCGTACCAGGCGGCCCAGACCCGGGCGGCGGAGCAGTGCGGCGGGCAGCATGGAAGAGGCGGCGGACGAACGACGGGGAGAGCAAACACAGGACTCAGGCGGGAGCAGCGGCCTGGAGGGCGAGGAGGACGACGCGCGAGGTATTCTGGGAAGCGCTGTCCTCGAGAACGCGCAAACGTGCACTACGATTCCTGGCGGGCCGCGCGCAACGACGATGACGAGCGCAGCGCTTTGAGCGAGGGCCATCCTGGGAGTTGTAGTTTTCTTCCGACCCTCGCAGGGGTTGGAAATTCTTGGGGCGGACGATTAGACCTTTCCGTACCTGTAGCACTTGACTCCTGTGCGAAGAGGGGTCCACATGAGCTCCAGTGTTGCCTCGGAACGCTCACTGGATGGCAGGCACTGCAGAATTTTGGGAAGCAGGAGTAGGGTGCTCAAGGATGATGGGACGTTTACTACTGGTCGATATAAGCTAGTCTACGTTGTTAAAAAGTGACAGTCTCCAGGAGTGGTGGCCCAAGCCTGTCGTCCCCCAAATTCGGGAAGCTGAGGCCAGAAGATCACTGCAAATTCTTTGGGCTACATGAGTTCAAAACCAGCCTGAAGTATATACTCATATCATATCTCAAAAAAAATTGATAGACGCGAAAATAAACACAACACAAACTAAGGAGCGGGATGGAGCAGTAGCAAAAGTTGCATCTGTGCACGCAAATGTCGGGAATGGCGCCCCAGGTAAGGTAGGGTTCAAGCGCCAACAGGACGGTTGTTAGGCGCCCCACCACCAGCAGGAGGCGCCTAGCGCCTGGAGAAGGGATCGCTCCTCTCCACCACCCCCGCCCATCGCCCCCCTGCCTTCGCCTCCGCGCCCCGCTGACGCAGGAGCGCGTGCGCGGGCGGCTCTAGGCCCTACTGACGTTAACCGTGCCCGGCGCAGCCTCGCTCGCGGCCATGACGTCACCGTCCCGCCCCCGCGCTCTCGCTAGTTGTTGCCCTGGGTTGGGCTAGCTCTTTGCTCCTTACTTGGGCTCCTAGTCAGAGATGCAGGGTCAAGCTGACGGTGAGGGCGAGGGAAGATTGGTCTGAGGGGCAGAGGGCAGAAGCCAGGGTGCAGAGATTGTGTTCTCGCTGAGGAGGGGCCTGAGGCCCACCTGCCTAACAATTCAACGAGGAAGGCGACCCGCACCTAGAGTGGACCGCAGAATCTAGGCATCTACTGATCCATATCAGAGACCCCAGGCCAGCGCTGAGTGATACTTGGGTCTTGATGACCTGGGCCTTGTGGCCCCATCCTTTCCTAGGTCCATACGTGAGCATGACCGCCTCTGGAACCAGAGCCTCTGTACCCACTCCCACTCCATGGAGCAGGGAGGCCTGATGGGCTCCTCAAAATTAGCAGTTAGGCAAAAAAAAAAAAAAAAGCAATTGGCTAACCCTGCAGTTCCCATGCTGGTGGTCCACAGGTGACAGGTGCACAGTTACTTAGTGCCTGAACTTACAAAGATCTGGAAATTCCACCTTGTCTGGCCTGTCCACCCATTCCTACCTCTGCGGCCATCTCTGGCCTGCACAGCTCCAGCCTCCTCCCCCTCCCCCCAGGTACCAAAGAATCTCCCTTGAGAAAAGCTGAAGCTTGAGCGAGTCATTCCTCTGCCGGGAGCCATATCTTGGTCTCCCTGCTTTGCCTTTTGCAAACATGTTCCTTCTCTGGGGCCTTCCTGTGCCGTGCCAGTACTCTTGTGCATTCCCTCTGCGTGTTGGCCCTGTGCTGAAGAAGTTCCTGTTCGGTCAAATGTGGTGCACCCATCATCCCAGCACCCTGGGAGGCTGAGACAAGCTGATTGAAAACTCCAGCTCAGCTTGGGAGACGTAGCAACCTCTGTAGTGCAAGCCAACCTTGAATTCACTATTGAGCCCAGGTTGGCCTCCAGCTCTCTCTGATTCTCTTACCTGAACTTCCTGAGTGCTGTAATGACAGGCATATGCCATCACACCCAGCAACTCCTTAAAAAAGTAAAGGACTTAGTATGTGGTTCAGTGAGAAAAAAAAAGAAGAAGAAAAAAAAAAAGAAAGAAAAAAGAAAAAGAAACAAAGAAAGAAAGAAAAAGAAGGGGCCTGGGAAATGGCTCAGTAGAATAAGCACTTCCCTGGCAAGCGCAAGGGCCTGAGTTCAATCCCTGGTTCTTAAAAAAAAAAAAATGAAAAGAAAGAAAAGAAAAGAGGGGCTGGTGAGATGGCTCAGTGGTCTAAAGCGCCTACTTAGAACAAGCTAAGCTAAGCAAAACACAAGGACCTCGGTTCCCTCGCCCCGCACCACATGCCAGCCAGCCCCGCCCCCTGGTGGGCTGAGCTGGCCACACACACAAAATAAATAAATAAATAAATATCATTTCTTTCTTTAAAAAAAAAAAAAGAAAGAAAGAAAAGAAAAGAAAAAGAAAAAGAATAAATAGCTCAGTGGATTAAAGTTCCTGCAAGTTGGGGGCTGGGGAGATGACTCAGTGGAACAAGCACTTCCCTGGCAAGTGTGAGGAGCCTGAGTTCAATCCCCGGTCTTGCAAAAATAAATAAATAAATAAATAAATAAATAAATAAATAAATAAATGTTTTAAAAATTTTTTAAAAAGGAAAATGCCTGGAAAGAGACTCAGCCTGTGCTGGCCCGGCCCCTGGGGCATACTGAAACGGCAATTGAGACTGGGCATGGTGGCACACGCCTGTAATCCCAGCTCTTGGGAGGCTGTCAACAGGCGGCTCACTACAAGTCTGATCTAGTAATGAGACCCTGAATACCCTTTAGACCCTTCCCTAGAAAAATACAAATAAATAAATAAATAAAAATAAAAGTTCCTGTTCTTGGAACTCACAGTGCAATGAAGCCCAGTGTTAATGAGACAACATGAGAAGTAGGATATCTGATATAGGGCCACACAGCAAAATGGGGACCAGCCCCAGGGTATGGGTGGTGGACTGCTATGAAACTTATGGTTTCTTGGGAAAGTTGGGGGAGAACCTTTCAAAGAGCACAGGATGGGCAGACATATACCTGTGTCAAGGCCCAGAGGCTGACCTGAGCCTGATGAAGTCCCAGGGGCAGAAGGATGCTTTTGTGAGGCCTAACACACAAACCCACTATAGCTAAGGTGGGATCTTGACAAGGCTAGTAGCAGATTGGTGGCCTAAGCAATTAAAAGGTTGAACATGTCTGTATGAGAGGGGAACAGGGGAGGAGGGACAGCTGGGGCTGTAGTTCTGCCACAGGGCACAGGCTTAATGTGCTGGACTCCAGCACCAAAAGGAAAAAAATAAAGGGAGTGGGCTGTAGGCCTGGGAGATGGCTCAGTAGAATAAGCACTTCCCTGGCAAGGGCAAGGGCCTAAGTTCAATCCCTGAGGGAGACAAAAAAAAAGAGGAGTGGGCCGTCCTTGTAAGCAGAGTTTCAGCTGGCATGGTATACCATGAGGAGCAGGTCTCTGTGGGAGCAAGGTGGGTCTCAGGGGACACTTAGGAAGGCTGTACTTGTGTTACCATCTTTGCTTTGCTGTACCTTAGAGGAAGGACAAGGGGCATGGGAGGCTATGGCAGATCCCTGACTTGGGGGAACAGTGTGCCCAGAGGACCAGCACTGTTCTTGCACTCCCGGACTCCCCGGCCCAGAGCCTTCGGACACAGGGCGATTCCTGCACCCCAAAAGAGGCCATCAGCCTCAGGAACCTGAGCTAAGGGCAGTCATGCCCCCAAGGATCCACCGCGCTGTGTCCCTGGAGGCTGAGGACCTGATGTAGGTGAGTCTTGCAGCACTGCAGGGGGTGGGGACCCGGACGCCGCGGGAGGGGGCGCCCAGGAGCGCAGGCTCCACCCCCCGCCCCCGCCGGAAGGGAAGGGGAGGCGGTGGCCGGCGCGGAGCTAGCCAGACGCGGCAGCGAGAGCGGCGGGGGCGGCCGGCTGGGCACCGGGCGGCACCGGGC